GAGAGATAAGAAGGCCTTCTTAAATAAACAATGCAAAGAAATAGAGGAAAACAATAGAATGGAAAAAAAACTAGATATGTCTTCAAGAAAATTGGAGGTATCAAGGGACCATTTCATGCAAGGATGGGCATGATAAATGCCAGAAACTGTAAGGACCTCACAGCAGCAGAAGAGATTAAGAGGAGATGGCAAGAATACACAGAAGAACTGTACAAAAAAGGTCTTGATGACCTAGATAACCACAGTTGTGTGGTCACTCACCTAGAGCCAGACATCCTGGAGTGTGAAGTCAAGTGGGCCTCAGGAAGCACTACTTCAAACAAAGCTAGTGGAGGTGACAGAATTCCAGCTGAGCTATTTCAAATCCTAAAAGATGGTGCTGTTAAAATGCTGCACTCAGTATGTTAGCAAATTTAGAAAACTCAGCAGTGTTCACAGCATGGGAACAGGTCAATTTTCTTTTCAGTCCCAAAGAAAGGAAATACTAACTGTCATACAGTTGTGCTCATTTCACATGCTAGGAAGATAATGTACAAAATTATTCAAGGTAGGCTTCAGTAGTACATTGACAAAGAACTTCAAGGAGAACCAGCTGGGGTTAGAGAAGGCAGAGGAACAGAGATTAAATTGCCAACATCCATTGGATCATAGGGAAAGCAAGAGAATCTCACAGAAAATCATCTAATTTTTCTCCACTGATTATGCTAAAGCCATTGACTTTGTGGATCACAATAAACTGGGAAATTATTAAAGACACAGGAATACTAGACCTTCTTACCTGCCTCCTGATAATCTTGTTTATGGGTCAAGATGCACCACTTAGAACTGGACACAGAAGAACTGACTGGTTCAAAATTGGGAAAGGAGTACATCAAGGCTATATGCTGTCACCCTGATTATTTAACTTATATGCAGAGTACATCATGCAAAATGCCAGGCTGGATGAAGCACAAGTTGGAATCAAGATTTCCAGGAGAAATATAATCTCAGTTATGCAGATGACACCACCTTAATGGCAGAAAGTGAAAAAGAACTAAAGAGCCTCTTGAGGAAGTTGAAAGAGAGTGAAAAACCTGGCTTAAAACTCAACATTCAAAAAATAAAGATCATGTCATCTTGTTCCATCACTTCATGACAAATAGAAGGGGAGGATTGGAAACAATAAGAGATTTTCTTTTATTGGGCTTCAAAATCACTGTGGACAGTGACTGCAGTCATGAAATTACAAGACACTTGCTCCTTGGAAGTAAAGCTATGACAAACCTAGACAGCAAATTAAAAAGCACAGACCACTTTGCCAACAAAGTCCCATATAGTCAAAGCTGTGATGTTTCTAATAGTCATGTAGAGATTGCGAGTTGGGACATGAAGAAGGCTGAGTGAAGAAGAATTGATGTTTTCAAACTGTGGTGCTGGAGAAGACTCTTGAGAGTCCCATGGACTGCAATGAGATCAAGCCATCCAATGATTTTTTACAAGGAGTGTTACAATATGTAATAATGACGATACTTGTTTCCTTTTATATTGTATAAAGTGAGGAGAAGGGCATTCACACAGGGCATCCACATATTGAAATATATTATTAGTTTAGGGTTTTATATCCCTTTTGTCATTATTCATCAAATAATTTATTTGATACTTGTAACCTTGTTTGCAAGACAAATTAGCTAACATATGGAAGTCTTTAACATAGTACCTTCTCAAAGCATTAGAGATTTAAAATCAGCAGAATTCAATTTATTGATGCTTTATTGACTGTCACTCTACTTGTTTTGATAAGACTGAATGGAAACCATCCAGCTGGAAATTTTCCCCACAGCAATAATATTGAATTATATGTTCTACAGTTCGCAGTCTTAGATGATTATACCCCATTATAGGACAAGTTGTATAGATGTTGAGTGACACAGATAGAGGTGAAGGTTTTAACCATGGTAAGATGCTGCATGTAGCGTGATGTAACATGTACAGAGGAATCTGACGTCAGTGGACATCATCTGACAGTAGCCTTCTGTGTTGTTTCAGCTTGCCTCTTCCTGGGTATAATTCTTCACTGCAATGTTTGTAAATATTAGTATCTTGATATGTTAGCATTTCTAGGGACCTTCATATAAATGGCAAAAGAAACCTGAATCACTAAGTGATTCCAGATAAATGAAAAAGAACTGGCAGTTAAGTTTTACCCCTTGCAGTTCTGATGATAAGTGAAGCAGACAGCTGCTATCCTCTGCCTGGTGCTGAGACCAGCAAAGCAAAATGGGCAACATTTACCAAATAGAATTGCTTCATTGATTGTAAAATTTGCTAATTCAACATTGAGAGATATCTGAATATTTTTAAAGCTTATTCATTCATAAAACATATTTATTAAGTGCTTCCTTATGTACCTGACACCAAGTGATGAGGAAAATAGATAAGTGAAGAGGGCCAGGGAGTGACAGGACAGTGAACTGCAGAAATTGAGTGTCAGACGGTGTTGTGGACACAATATAACAGGGCTGTACAAGTACAGAGAGGCTGCTTAGACTGTATGGTGAGGGAAGGATTTCCTGCAGTGCTACCCTGCAAGCTGGGACCTGTTGTCAATAATTTGGAGAAGAATCATCACAGGCCCTTAGTAAAGAGGAAGCCTGGAATGTTGGATGCACAGTGAGGAACGACTGGATGGGCAGAGATAAAACTGAGAGGAAGCAGGAGCAGAACACGCTGACCAAAGGAAGGTTTTCAGCCTACACGTAGATCTGTTTAGGGAGAGAATGTTGACCGTTCCCCAGATCTCACCCAGATAGCTGTTTAACCCCCTGCATCATCCCCAGTGACTCCCTCGGTCAGACTATCAGTTACTGTGCCAGGTATGACTCTAAATGTGGGGAGTATGAAAGGCTTGGCCAGCCCTGCCTTCACAGAGCATAATTCAGTGGAGAAGAAATAAACGAAATGATTAGAAGTATCAAGAAGTCCAAGAAGTAAGTGAAATGTATCACTGGTATTTATAATAAAATGGGGTCAACCTAGCCTACAGCCTAGGTCTAAAATCTTGTAGTAATGAAATAGAATTTCATCTTACATATTTCACTTCAAAACATCATTCCAAGATTCTACTACAATAATAGATTGAAAATGCCAATTTACTTACATATATAATAAAACATATATCATCCTTTATAATTTTCTGTCCTTTCATATGCACTACCCCATTTAATACTCACAGTGCTTGTTATTTTTATTATTATTCACAATAACAATATCTGCTACTTTTAGTATTCACAATACTTATTAATACTACCTTATTTTTAAAGATGAATAAGCTAAAGTCAATCCTAAAGGAAATAAGTCCTGAATATTTATGGGGAGGATTGATGCCAAAGCTGAAACTCCAATACTTTGGTCACCTTATGTGAATAACTAACTCTTTGGAAAAGACCCTGATGCTGGATAAGATTGAAGGCATGAGGAGAAGGGGGCGACAGAAGATGAGATGGTTGGATGGCATCACTTACTCAATGGACATGCTTTTGAGCAAGCTCCAGGAGTTGGTGAAAGTCAGGGAAGTCTGGCGTGCTGTTGTCCATGGGGTCAAGAAAAATCAGACACAACTGAGCACCTGAACTGAACTGAAGCTAAAGCTGTGGAAATTTAACTGACTTGTCTACAGTCCCAAAAGAAATTAGTAATGCAGGCAGTTCTAGCCTTTTTTGATACCACTTAGATCACCAGCGGTCGGGCTGGTCTGAGCTAAATATAGTAAAACTATTTACCCAACAGCACCAGGCATTTAGTTCAAAAACAAAAGGAAGAGAGGACATAGCATCCTCATTCTTAAGAAATGCAGGATCTATTTAGGAAGGTGTTCAGGTAAGTACCAGATAGTAAATTGGGCAGAAATTCTGGGTGCATATAAAGTTATGGAATAATCAGAGTGGTATGGGATTATTCTATAACCTTGTCTTGAAAGAAATTTTACAACTGGGCATATAAATAGGTTGTGTGGTTATATTTTTATATATAAAATGAAATTCTGGGTTTTCTTCCCCTATTTTCAAAATTACTGCCAGTCAATGAATCTTACCCACATTTCCTCTGAGTTTATTACTTAGTTTAGAAATCTATACTGTTTCTTCATTGTACAGATTAATCTCAGCTACTCTTTTTCTCTCTCTGCTGAAGACATCTGCCAGGACAATCCAGAAAACTTTACTTAGCATTCTCTATTTTATTTCCAGGTCCAAGCCTGATGCCAAGCTTTCTGTTCAGACTACCTCTTCCTGGAATGCTAAATTGTTGACCTTTAGGAAAGCTTCATTATTTAACCTTCTTTTATTTCTTAGAAAATCAGTAGAGAATTCTATTCAATATGCAACCCTGAATATGCTGGCTTACATTTTCTGAACACTGAATGTTCTGTTTCTCTCATACAATGCAATGATTTTATTTTTCTGACTTTTGCATGATGTCAATAAATGTTTAGTTTTATTAATATTGATTATTTTACATTATGTTTTATAATGAGTCAGCACCTGGCATACTATTGCATAAAAGTACACGATCATTTCAAATACTATCATTGTCATTACACATATTGCATATTGAGTCTCTTTCCCCTTCCACTATACCTGGAAACATTTTCTCTGCTAATTAAAAATTATGCATAATACATGTCAACTAACAAGCAATTAAGAAACAAAAGAAAAGTATACAACTTCAGTTATGTATTTAAGCTTTAGTGTTAATTGTCTTACTCTTCATGGCCGTAAAGGATCGCACAAGATGTAACATGTGGAAGAAAAACTACTGCCAAATCACCACCTGGTAGCAACATGCCAGAGCCTGTGCTAAGTGCTTTTTTTATTCCTTTTTATTTTCACTTTCACATTAACTCTACAAATAAATAATCTGCAACATAAATTTCTTTTCTAGAAAGTGAATGAAGATCAAAGGCACATTTTTAATAGGAACTGATGAGTAACTTCTTTGTAAAAAATGAAAAATACTTACTGGAACCAGAAATTTTTTAATCTCTTCCAATGCGTGACTCATACGTGAATAAGCCTCCCCCGGTGGAGCAAACACTTCAATTAATACATGAAGTTCGTCACTCAAGTGGGCATACTTGGCTTCCCCACTTTTTCTTAATTCTTCTTCCTGTGAAAGAAGTTATTTTTATAAATACAAATCCACTTATTTTACATCAATTTAACATTTACTGAGGAGATGACAAAAGGACATAATATAAGAAAATTTTCCCCAAGTGGAAAGTAAAAATCTGGCATAAGTCATTTAAATATTTCAAAATAATTTTTAAGAGTTTGATTTTTAAAAAAAATTCTGGCATAATAATTAACTGCACATTTTAATCAGCTAAATGAAAATGCTAAATCCCCCCAAAAAAGCGACAGAAATGCCATTAACTCCACTGGAAGGAAAATATTACTTTTGTGTCTGACAAGTAATCATTTGCAGGCAATGAACCCATGATGCCACTGTTTTTTAAGAAAACCAGGATTTTATAGATATTTTTTGAGAGGTGGTGAAATGGTTACTTGCTCTCCATGAAAGTGAGCAAAACAGAGGCTTCTCTCACAGGCTCATTCCCAAGGGAACAGGTCCTACCCATCACTCTGCTATCATTTGCCGCCTCATACAGGAGTAAGTTAAAGCAACGACTGTTAGGCATTATGTTGGCCTTGATTCTGAGTGAGCTGCATACCCTCAGATTTTTGTGAGCACTGCACCTGAGTTATTACAGATGACTGATCAGTTCAGTTCAGATGCTTCTGACTTTACTCCCTTGTGCAAAGTTTTTTACTCATGTCATCTCTAATCTTTCAATAACCTTGCATAACATTCACATAATTCAAATTAGGATATTGAGTTTAAAAGACTTAAGTAACCTCAGCAAAGTTGGGACTCAAGTCCAGCTCATTTTGCAAAGATTTCAGGGAAGTAAAATTCAGTGAAAAATTAACACATGCTTGCTCAGTCATGTCTGACTCTTTGCAACCTATAGGTTGTATCCTACATGGCTCCTCTGTTCATGAGACTCTCCAGGAAATGATACTGGAGTGGGTTGCCATGCTCTGCTCCAAGGAATCTTCCCGACCCAGGGGTCGAACCTGAGTCTCCTGCATTATAGATGGATTGTTAATCTGCCGAGCCACCTGAGAAGCTCAAAAGTAACCATAAACAATATTAATTTTATTTTACTTTTCTTGCTTCTCCTCTCCCAAACTAGCAATTGATTCACTAAATTTCAAAGGATAATAATAATAATAATAATGGTAATAAAATAGGATTGCTGCTGATCCCTGCCTCTTGGATACACATACAATGAGAGCATCACTTCAGGACCTTTCCTGTCAGACAAGATTTCTGAGAAATAAGAAATAATTCTCATTTGGAACTTACAAAGAGAACAAGGCCTGAGCCTTTTGAGAGTGAGAACTGACTTCAAGACTCCAGACTACCAGAGAACTAACCCTGTGGAGTATCAAATAGTGAGAACTCACATAAAGGAAATCACTCGAATACAATACGTGGTATCACACAACCACTTCATCTAAACAACAAACAAAACAAAAATACAAACCCAATCATCAGCAGACAGGATCACCACCTCACCCAGCCTTGCCCATCAGAGGAAAAACAAACACACACACACACACACACAAAAAAAAAAACTCAGCACAAAGCTCACCCTATACAAAGCTTACACAGACAACTGGGCCAACCTTAGGAAAGCAGAAACAAAGAGGAAGGAAGAATTCAACCTTGAAGCCTGAGAAAAGGAGACCTCAAACACAATAAGTTAAAAAAAAAATGATGAAAAGGCAGAGAAGTACTACATAAATGAAGGAACAAACTAGAAACACAGAAGTCCAAACAAATGAAGAGGAAATAAGCAAACTATCTGAAAAAGAATTCAGAATAATGATAGTAAAGATGATCAAAAAGCTTAAAAACAGAATGGAGGAAATGTAAGAATCAATTAACAAAGACCTAGAATAATTAAAGAATAAACATAAAGAGACAAACAACACAATTACAGAAATTAAAAATACTCTAAAAGGAATCAATAGTAGAATATTTGAAGCAGAAGAATGAATCAGTGAGCTGGAAGATATAATGGTGGAAATAACTCCTGGAGAGCAGAATAAAGTAAAAAGAATGAAAAGAACTGAGGATAGTCTCAGAGACCTCTGGAACAAAATCAAACACAAAAACATTGAAATTATAGGGGTCCCAGAAGAATAAGAGAAAAATAAAGTGTATGAGAAAATTCTTGAAGAGATTATAGTTGAAAATTTCCCCAGCATGGAATAGGAAATAGTCAATCAAGTTCAAGAGGTAGAGAGTCCCATACAGGGTAAACCCAAGCAGAAATATGCCAAGACCCATATTAATCAAACTAACAAAGACTAAACACAAAGAAAGAATATTAAAGGCATTAAGGGAAAAGCAACAAGTAAAATGCAAGGGAAACCCCATATGTTTAACAGCTGATCTTTCAGCAGGAACTCTGCAGGCCAGAAGGGAATGGCAGGATACATTTAAAGTATGGGGGAGATGTACAACAAAGATTACTATACCGAGCAAGTATCTCATTCAAAATTGATGGAGAAACAGAAAGCTTTCAGACAAGCAAAATTTATGAGAATTCAGCACCACCAAACCAGCTTTATAACAAAAGTTAAAGGGACTTATAAACTCAAGAAACACAAGAGTTGAAAAAGAACTGCAAAATCAACCACAAACATTTAAGAAAATGGGAATAGGAACATATATATCAATAATTACTTTAAACGTAAATGGATTAA